GTCGGCTCATGCGCAGGAGCTGCTGGGGGCGGCAAGACGCATGTGGCAGAGAGAGAGTGTCAGGGCTGATTCCCCGCTCTGGCATGATGAATGCAGAAGTGGGGGCCTGCAAAAGTACCCCAGAACCTTATCTCTGCAGGCTTTGGTATAAAATCTTTAAAAACCTAGATTTTGGGGATAAAAATCTGTTGCCACCATCAAGTGCTTTTGAACCCACAAACGGGTGGATTCTTGAAACCAATCCCAGGGCACCCCAAACTCTTTTCCCCAAAGAGCTTGAAAAACTGCAGTCTGTGGCTGCTATCCCCTAGTAAGAGGCATGCAGATCCCACAGATGGATTTTCCAGGACACAGAACTTAACCAATACCAGGTTAATAAAAAAGAAAAAACTTTTATTCTCAAAACAATACTCCTGTTGCAAGCATGACTAGTTGGAAAAAGTCACCAATTAATATACTCATGGGGACTCCCATGGGCTCAGGACTTAGTCACAAAAGGGAGAGAAACCCATTTCTAACAGCACAGACATCAGATCCAAAGTCCCACAACAGAAAACAATAAAACCTAACAGATTTATCTAAACTTTACTCTTTTACAGATGGTGAAGAGTCTTCTTGGAGAGGGACATGTTGTCTGTCCCCCTCAGTATCTGGAGTGCCAACTGCCCAGGGACAAAGGAGGGTAAACCCAAAAATTCCTTTGTCCCAGTTTGAAATTCCTCCCTGCATTTCTTTTTGTTGACTGCTACCTGGCTCAGTACAGTTAACCCTTTAGTCCTCAGGCTGCTGACCATCCCTCATGACCATGACAGAGAACGAGGCAGCGGTGGAGCCAGGCGGTAAGGCCAGGGTGAGAAAGGTCTGGGCTGGGGCTTAGGTAGTAATCAATATAATGGTCTTCTGTTGATAATGTGTCTTATCAGTTAAATTGCTGAACTGTCATTGCTCGTTAAAAGTGCTGACATATGGGTGGAAATCGGGTAAATATTGCATTTTATTAATATCAGCAGAACTGACTTAAATGGGGCCTGTGAGTAGTGTAGTCTTGCCTTCATCTTTGTATTCATGCCTGTCAGTGTGAAAGAAGCTATTTGCAAATATTTGCGACCATGCTTAAGTTACAGCTCTGCATGTGCTGTGGGTATCATTGTGGCCACCGGGACTTCCAAAGTTGAGTAGCCCTGCTTTATATAGATCCTGTAGGTCCATCATAATCTTCCAAGAACCCACCCTGCAATCAGTCCTGGTGCCAACTCTGCCCACACATCTACACTAGCGATTTCATCACTGGACCCAACCACATCAGCCACCAAATCAGAGGCTCATTTAACTGCAGATCCACTAAAGTGATCTATGCCATCAAATGCCAGCAATGCCCCCACTGCAATGTATATTGGCCAAACCGGACAGTCTCTACAGGAAAGAATTAATGGATACAAATCGGATATCCAAAAAGACAATACACAAAAACCTGTTGGAGAACACATTAATCTGCCTGGACTCTCATTAATGGATCTCCACGTCAATGTTTTGTTTCAGATCATTTCCACAAGCCAAATAAACAGAGAAGGGTTGAAACTTAATTTCATTCACAAGTTTAATTCTTATGCAGATGGTATGAACAGGGAATCAGCTGGCTCACAAAAAGGCCTGGGGAAACCTTGGTTTAAAAAGTGGCCTTGAAAGTTGGGATATGGTTCATGGAACTTTAACTGGCTACCACCCATGATCAAGTTGTAGGAAACAACTGCTCAGCATTTCACTTATGTAAATATGATCTCTTGCATTTCTTTATATATTTCTTATATTCAAATAAGATAACTATTCCTTCTATGACTGTGCAAGCCAGTAAATGTAGCTGTTACACCAATTAAATGTAGCTCTGGATTTCCTCATTAGAAACTGTCCTATGAGATGCTGGGCATCTGTGAATTACTGGGGATGATGGGTGTGATTTGTTTTCCTTACTTGGCAGGAGTAACTTATAGAAGTAGAAAAAAGTTGCTGAAAATAAATGTATTTGAACAAATTTCATGTTCATTGCAATTAAGTTAGCTGTATTTTAAAGAAGATCATTAGATACTATAGTTTAGGCCAAATAGTTTTTATATTAGCATTTTGTAAAATCTTATGGATTTCTTCACTAACTGAAGTTCCGGCAGAGAAACTTCAGAGCTAAATATTATTGCCACAGAAGCCAGGACTTCCATGTTTTTTCTCATCACTTAGTGATTTCCTGTACCACCTTGGTCATGTCATGTCACTGTCCTGTGCCTCAGTTTCCCCACTGTGAAGGAGAAATGACACTTAATTCTCACAGCCCATATGAAATATATCTAATGTTTGTACAGAGTTTTCATAACATAAGCAGTAAGTTCAACTCCCCTCCCCTCTAGAAGTACTCTTCTCAGAACTGAAAATACTGCCGCCTTAACTATGGATTAGCTTCTGCTCTTGCATAAACTTGATTCCCACAGCTAAGGTCTAGTTGATTAACTATAATTATAACAATGACCTTTAGAGCACAGCTGAACTTCACTAGACTTTGGGAATCTCAACCAGGTACACTGCTAGTGATACAGCTTCTGTGGTAGGAGTATTAGCATAGATGTGGCATAAGCAGCTGCTGGCAGCATTTCTACCACCATGTATTTTCTAGGCCTCCTTGCAAAAAGATTATACATATTATAAGAAACTGGTGTGGGTTTTGTTGTTGGTTTATTGGGAGGGTTGTCTATGGGTCAACTTTTTACTCCAGTGTGTATCAGGGTTTTCCACCATTGCTGCTACTAGTGGAACTGTTGCCAAAAAGGTCTGGTGCAAGCATTTTTCATAAACATCCTCTCCATTTTTCCCACAGCCATCTCCTGAAAAAATAACTGCTAATCTGATGGCCTATCTGAGTTTTCCATTGTCTTGTAAGGTAAAAGCCTTTTCCGTTTTAAAGCTTGGTTATCTCCCTCTTGCATAGCACACTCTAGAATACGTGTGAGTGCATGCACAAATGCACATTGCAGCATGTTAATGCTAGGAGGGGTCCATGTGCTTTTTACATCATCAGATAGGGTGTAGTGAGTAATAACAAATGGCTTGTAAACTATGTGGAAATCATGTGAAAATACGTATTTCTTGTCTGATATTTCTATGTTCAGAGCTCCCTAAACTATGGAGAGTGAGTCTTGTAGGTGTGCTTTCCTAGTGCTGTAGAGAACATCATCTTTCAGAATACTTTATTTGCTGCTACATGAGGAGCTGGGAACTTGTAAAACTAACTAAAATGAGGCAGTGACAGTTGTGTACAAGTATGCAAAGGGATGTAAATGCCATGGAGAAGGAATTTCTTCAGGATGCTTCAAGGAAGAAAATAGAATAAATAGAAATTAAGGAAAGGAGAAACTTGGCTGAATACCAACAAACCTCTCTTTGAGGTGAAATGTCTTTGGGAGTTTGTTGGAACTTAGCTTTAGAGACTCACTAGAGGATATTTCCTGCTCTCTGATAAATGGTTTATATAGATAACAGTTGCTTGCAAACATTGACCTGTCTCTTGCTCTGAAGTACACTGGAGTGTTAGCAAAATATAATAATCCTGAAGAAGTATAATACAGTAGCAATAGAAGAAGAGCACTGTCTAACCAGTGACAACCTAGGCTACGTCTAGACTACATGCCTCTGTCGCCAGAGGCATGTAGATTAGGCTACCAGGCATAGGAAAATAAAGCGGCGATTATTTAAATCGCCGCTTCATTTAAATTTACGTGTCTGCTACGCTGAGCCGATCAGCTGTTTGTTTGGAATAAACCTCATTCCAGGAGGCATACCTGGGTGGTTGACAAATGCCTTAGATGTCGACACCCGTGCGTCCAGACTACTGCGCTGAGCCAACATACAGCTGATCGGCGCGGCAGCCATGTAAATTTAAATGAAGCGGCGATTATTTAAATCGCCACTTCATTTTCCTATGTCTGGTAGCCTAATCTACATGCCTCTGGCGACAGAGGCATGTAGTCTAGACGTAGCCCTAGATATTCTCTGTTATTATTGATAGGTTGACTCCATGTGTTGCTTCAGCAGAGCTAGTGAGCTGAAAACATCAGAGAGGAGCAAGTTTGATTGATGTGTGTAGTGTATTCTTGGTTTTAGTGTATGTTTTTCTTTGACTGTGTACCAGATACAAAACAGGATCTCAGCAAATACTCCTATGTGAGCCATATGAACATCATGGGAGCAATTCTGACACAAGAGAAGCAGTCAGTTCCCCTCTGCCCAAGGAGCAAGATGGCAAGTGGTAAATATGGGTTGTGTAGAATAGGAAACCCTGCCACTATTCCTACATAGCGTGGCTCCTATGGTTAGGTTGGCAATGTTAATCAGGGTGGGCAGGGTACTGTGGAGTTATGCATTAGCTAGTGCAGTGATACTCAAACTGAGGTTTGGAGCTGCAAGCATCTCTAATATGTCTCCTGTAGCTCTTTGCAATACATGACATTACAGCACTGTGATTTCATTACTAACCAATCAGGATGCTATTTACTTTTTTATTTATCAGTTGTAGAATACTTGGTCATTTTGCTGTGAGAAAATATGTATATTAAAAATAGCAAATGAAACAGTGAATTCATACTACTATGGCTCTTTTGAATTAGGTTGGTCACTGATTTGGCTCCTGAACCCCTGAAGTCTGAGTATCAGTGAGCCTACTGCATGTGTATGCCATGCTCTCTAGTATATGGAATTTCAGCTTTGATGAAGTGTGTAACAGTTGTTTTCTGGTGGCTACACCCCATTGAGTTAAAGCTCCAGTACTCTAGCTCACAGGGAGCCTCCTCTGGTTTGTAATAGGATTATAGTTTTGGAGTTGAAGATACTGTTGCCTAATAAGCTGTCCAAAGGAACTAAACAAGGGAAAAGGCGGGACCCGCCTTTCCCCCCAGTGTCAAGGATACACGCAGCTAACACCAACCAAAGCACAGCTTCACTGGAGTGATCTGTTGTCTTTGTTTCCACAAAATCTAATGTGCAGCCTAAGGATGTTAAGGAATAGTTGAGTATCTGCTTATCGGATAGTTGAGTCAACTAGTTGTTTCCCCCCATCCTTGCTGCCTCTATCAAATAGAGGCAGCAAAGGGGGGGGAGGGGGAAGGGGGTACTTCAAAAAGGCAGTGCCGCACGGAGCCCGTATCTGGGCTCTGTGCCCCTGTGCCCCCCCGCCACAACGTTTCAAAGAGGCAGCACCACATGGAGCCTGGGGTCAGCTCCATGCAGTGCTGCTTTGAAATGCCAAGGCATCCTTTCAAAGGGGCCGCGTCTCCATGGAGCCCAGGGGCAGCTGGGGACTCCCCAGCTGAGCCCGGGTCCCAGCATAGCATTTCAAACCAGACAGAGCCTGGAATCAGCCTGGGTTCTGAGGAAATGCTGCACGGAACCTGGGATCAGTCCTCAGCTGACCCTGGGCTCCATGTGGCATTTCAAAGCAGCTGCGCATCAAAGCTCCATGAGGGCGCTTCCACTTTGAAATGCACAAGAGCCCCAGCTGGGGACTCTTGTATATTTCAAAGCTGGCACACCATGTGCAGCCCAGAGTCAGCGGGACTTCCTGCTAGCCCTGGGCTGCAGGCGGAGTTTGGTATTCCTCCTTTGAAATGTACAAGACTTCCAGCGGGGGCTCTTGTACATTTCAAAGGAGGAATGCAGAAGTGACTATCAACTAGTAAATTACTTGATATTTAACATCTTTAGTGCAGCCACATTTGTGGAGGTGTGTAAACCCCACCCTGGTGTGTCCCATAACAGGATCAGGCCTGTATGCAGCAGGGGTGTAAAAGGTACAAACACACTCCCTCATGGTCCTCCAACTAAGCATGAGGCTGGGATGGTGCATTGCCCCAGTCTGCCTCCCTCCCCCATGCTCCAGCCAGCTGGCGGAAGGCAGGAGCGGCACATTGCCCCAGGCTCCCTCCCCCATGCTCCAGGTGACAGCGGGAATTGGGGCTGATTTCCCCCCACCTCAGAAGTGAGGCCGGAGGTGGGACCCAGTCCACGGGGATGAGGCAGCCACAAGCCCCTCCCATGGCTCCCTCGTCCCACAGAGATTTCTTTGTAGGGGACTGAGGATGCCCCAATATGGGAGTCTCAGGAAAGCCAGTGCATTCCTGGCTCCTCCATCCAAGGCAGCTGTTAGAAAACCTGTTTCAATAAAACCAAAACCCCCAGTACCTGCTGCCCTACAAACCTCCTCTGAACAGTGTATTTCAGTACCCCCAGTAACTGCTGCATCTATGGTGTTCACTAGAAAAATATAATTCAGTAAAGGAAGTGGCCCTGGCCACTGTCCTGCAGACTTCAGCCTGTAGCCTTTGTTTCTGTACCCCCATTGGCTGATGTTGGTGTTGTGATCCTGTGGGCTTTCACAGTCAAGACTCTTCCCAGAAAACCTGTATTCCCTCTATTAATGGCAGCTGTTGCACCCAAGGTTTCCGCTCCAGTAAAACCAGCATCTCCATTAGTTGCCTTATCCAAGGCTTCTAATAGAAAATCTGCTTCAGTAAAGAAGTGCCCCCAGTAGCTAATCCCATGCCAGTTTGCACATACAGAGAAAGACAGCATCTTGGGAAACTGCAACAATTGAGGACTCCTATCAAAAGCCAGTCTTATTTGACTTCAGGAAACATTATCCCAAGGAGGAGCTGCTGCTCTGCTCCAGCAAATCAAAAGTATGTTAAATTTTCTTCATGTACACTGAACTTCCAGAACTATGCAGCCCACTCTTATTTTGAAGACTACCTACTCCTGATCTTCTCACTAGCAGCAGCATCAGTGGAACTAATGGTAGTGCAGCTGTGCAATTGAGAAGGAGTGAATGATAGGATACTAAGCTCCTGCAGGAAGACTCTCTCTCTTAAAGGTCAGTCTTATTCCCATGTTGAGGCTGGCTCTGTCTTTCTTGACTGATTGTGTCACTTAGGTGCAGCTGCAGAGAATCACGTAGTTACTGAGTGAAGACAAAGTGTTCTTCACTTGTAATTATTTCTGAAACTTATGAGGGTGCTGAGAGGAAAAGATAGGTGGTCTTTTCTGTGGTGCAAGGGCATCAGTACAGAAAGGTGAAAAGGGAACGGAAGCACTAGACCTCGTGATCAAGGCCCCAGCCAGCCTCTGCCTGTGCATTGAAGGAATTTGCCAAAAACTGTACAGAGCTCCTGACTCACTGGTCTTCTAGCTCATAGACTTAGAGCTCTCATTTGCTTATGTAAGTGTGGATGCCAGAGTTACAGCCTAGGGGGCCCACCTTACATGGAAGCTAACCAGCTTGGAATCTTTATACGCTGGTACTTTCATACTAGCTTTGCTGGACAATAAAACCTGATCTTCTTGGGTTCAGGCTTGGCCACAAAACTACCCATTCTTCTTCTTACTTTTGCAACACTGAGGCTACGTCTACACTGGTGGCTTCTTGCGCAAGAACTCTTGCGGAAACGTTCTTGTGCAAAAACTCTTCCACAAGAGTGTCTACACTGCCATGTGCTTTTGCGCAAGAGCATCCATGGCAGTGTAGACTCTCTCTTCCACAAGAAAGTTCTGATGACTATTTTAACCATGGGGGCTTCTTGCGCAAGAAATTCATGTTGCCTGTCTATGCTGGCCTCTTCTGGAAGAGCTCTTGCGCAAGAGGGCTTCTTCCTGAGAGGGAGCGTCAGAGTTCTTGCACAAGAAGCCCTGATTTTCTACAGTACAACATCAGTTTACTTGCGCAAGAACGCGCAGCTAGTATAGACAGGCGGCATGTTTTTGTGCAAGAGCGGCCGTTTTCGTGCAAGAATGTGCCAGTGTAGACACAGCCTGAGATTGATATGCTCTATGACTCAGCCCCTGTGACCTGGCTGACATGACATTGACTCTTCCTCTTGCTTCGTTTGACTAACTGATGCAAACTTCAAAAGGGTCTTTGCCAGCAAGAGGCTAGTGAAGATGAACTTTGTGTGTAAAGCAATGCAACCTTCTTTTCACTCTTATATGGAGAACAAGTCAAATGTTACTTGAGAATACTCATGTTATGTCCTAAATACACCAAGCCTCTATGGCTAGTCTTCCCTTGCCATGCACACATGCTGCCCCCTTTTCCACAAAGAAACTGGACTCCTGATGACTTAGAAGGGGTAGGAGATTCTTAACATCTGTTCCAGACTGTATTTCAGGACAGGTCTGAATAGCTTTTGATTTTGTTAAATCTATGCCAATGTAGTTAAAAGGGTGCAATGCCCTAGTGTGTACATTTCTAACAATCTATTAGTTTTGACTTAGCTTGTGGGAGTAAAACTTCTGAATTGTGCTATCCCCACTAGGGAGTTGAACTGATCTAACTTGTCCCCAAGACTAACATATACAAGCCTCTACCTGCCCTTCTTTAGAGAAGGAAGCTGCCACCATGCTGCTGGCTCTACAGGCCTGAGCCTATGGTAGGGATCAAATTAAATGGTTTAAAATGTCACTTTATTTTAGAAGTGTAAAAGTCTTTATCAGCTGTCAACTTGCCAGGCACCTATTAAAACTTCAGTATCCTTTTAACACTGTATTTCTAATGTTTTAAGCATTCCTTTGTGCGGTCTCCACTCTTGTTCCCTCTTTGGCTCCTTCCAACCAGACTCAAAAGTGCTCTGGTTATAAATGTAAAGTCTCTCATCTCTGGCATAAGAAAACTTCATCTCTGTGTTTTATTTGCAAGATGGAGTAGAAGTGATTTGTATAACATCTCACATGCCATCTCTGAAATAGCTAGAAAGAGCCTAAGTGTTCACATGTTTAGACAGCAGGTTCTTGCTCTGCCTCTTGGAGAGTGGTTGCTTGTGAGGTTGTCAGGCACTAGATTCAATCTAGGCCTATGGTGATGTAAATAACTAAATAGATCAATCCTTTAGTGTCAGCAACAAGGGGGGAGGGGACTTTTGCAAAGACATTTATCTGGTGCACTTATTAGGCTTTCATATTAAATAGCTAAACAAGTGGCACACTCCCTTTCCCCTCAGTTGCCACATTTTTGCTCAGGTTACATCATTGGTCCTGAGACCAAAAAACTAAATCTGTTTCTCTGTTTAAACAGCAAGCTTCAGCCTCTGTTATGGAGAGGCAGGAGAATAATAGCCCAGTTTTCCCCTTATTCCCTTCCACCCTATTTAAGGTCATCTTTGTGTCTCCTACCACTGGCAATGAAGATAATTTTTTTTGTGGTGTGGTCTTGTTTTGTGTGACTATTTAAAAAAAACAAAACAAAAAACCAAGCCTAAAGTGCTAGTTTGCTGGAACATCAGCAAAATAAAGTTATCATATTATTATTTGTAAATTGCTGCAGTGGAGGAATGCCTGAACTCTGTGTTAGATCTTACTCTGTGCTTTGTGTTCCACAGTTGGTTGGGCATTTTTAATAGCTCAGCAGCCCTGAATGCTTTGTACCTTCAGCATACTCTACAAAACAATAAGTGCAGAATAAATATAAGGAATTTTTAAAAGATACAAAAATGTAACCAACTTCCCCCCATACTCTTCTTGTAGAGGGGAAAGAGAATGTTTTTCATAGAAACAGCTGGGAATGGCTGTTGAAATTAAAGCCCTGAGATTCAAGATTGCAGGAAGCTTTAGTATAATCTTCCCTCAGATGTAACCAGCTCTGACCATTCGCAGCCAGTGAATCATGGCCTCAATGACTACTCTTTGAACTACTGAAGGGGAGGAATGGTTAGAAAGTCAAGAGGATCAGATTTTCCTACTCCATGTTCTCCCATGAAAATCCTTTACTTTAGACTCCTTCTTGATGTATGTACCAAAGACAAAGCCTGCCCCAGCAAGCCATTTAGAGGGGTGATAGGTGTGACCCTAGTTCCCTCTGATTGGAGGGCTGAGTCCCTAGAGTTTACATTCACATCTAGGGCTCCATTTTGCAATTGCTTGAAGTTGTCTGTAGCAGCATGGGAGAAAATAAGCCTGCTTCGGAGCCACTTGGTCCTTGTCTATCAGCTGTAACGGGGCAGCAAGGATCAGAGGCTGAACAAAGATCTCATCTGTTCTGCAACAAGAGTAAGAGAGAGAGAGCAGGTAGTTTGATAGCTGAGCCTGGGCTGTGTCCCAGCCAGGTTCTGGCTCTAGAGAAGGGCTACTCAACATGCGGACACAGCCTGTTTGTTTGCGGCCCACGGTGTGGTTTGGGTTTACGTGGAGCTCAACACGTGGCCCGCAGGTAGGATCCTTTGAACATGGTCTTCACTGGGAATATGCTCCACAATGGCAAGCTGTCACCCAGGCAGGGTGAGCATTGAAAGATGCAAGCAGACAAGCTGGCAGGAACAGACGGGTACAGGGTGTCAGCATTTCTAGCCCCCAGGAAGGAGGTGCCAGAAGTGTAGGCTGCTTAGCCTTATGGGTAGAGCCTGAGAGCTGACTGGCTCACACTGGCCATATTTGGGTCCAGCACCACAGTGTAAGGCTTAATCTTTGTAATCACGCCCATCTGTGTGAAATAAGCTGTTTGCATTTATATTTGCATGCATATGCAACCACACTTAAGTTGTGGCCCTCAGCATTTGCAGTGAGTATCACTGGAAGCCCTGGGGGCCAGAAAGTTGAGTAGCCCTGCTGTAGAGCGTAAGAGGGATATTCAGCATTCTACCAACATTACTATCTGTGTCCTGCTCTCAGAATCATCTGCCACAATGAACGCTTGTCCCAACAATTTAATACTTCTATTTTGATTTAATACTTCTAAATGACCAAGCCTGTCGTTTAGTATGAGCTGGAAGATACATTTCTTAGGCAGCCAGGAATTTAATCCTGTTCATAGCTGAGTTTCTCTTAGTTAATTGGCCTCCAGGTTCCTGAGGTCCCCCCACAACAGGGATGCCTTGTGTGGATATTAGGCATCCATATTAAAATTGGCTTGCCAAAGCTATAAGACAGCACCATCTAAGACCATCTAGGTAGAGGCCTTCTGTGTTCCAAATCACAAGAGTGGTTCCTCATACTGTTCTGCCGCGTCATTTCGTTGGCCTGGACTTCAAAGTGCAATTCACCTAGTCACCCTCAGCAATCAGTAACACCCTCTGCAGTTTGGGGAAGTAACTCACTCAACACTGGAAATTACAGACGTGAGATTGCTAATCCAGCCACGCAAGGAGTTTCAAGTATGGGGTGAAGAGGAATAATCTTCAGAGGAGTTACCAAGAGCATTTCTCTAATTCAAAAAGGAAAAATCTTCCCCACTTCTCTCCTGGCCTCAGTTACAGCTAAATGAGACACAGGAGTAACTTTACTTGACAGGGCTCTAACCTGGAGAAACCATATTTTTCAGCTTTCTTCAAACCCACCCAGTCTAGCCCTCTGTATTTGCACTTTCTCTGTCCATATACATACTACCTCTACAGCTCCCTTGCTAGAGTAACCACAAAGTCATGGGAGACACTGCTTTCCAGCACTACTCATCCTGGCTCCAAAGCCTCAGTGGGGGCATTTGCCTTTTGGTATATACCTGGTTGGCTCAAGCTCTGGCTCACTAAATCAAGAGCCTCTTCAGATAGAGTCTGTACCTCCTCCTGGAACTTTCTGCAGCCTTCTGGGGTCAGCTTCCATAGGCGGGACTTACGGTTACCCTCATTGCACACGAAGTGCATGGTTTTTTCAAAGCTGCTACTGAAGCACAGATTGTGACGAATGGTGTTTTTCCAGCCATCTGGAGCAGTCTGGAAAAAGGGAAAGTGCTGCCTGCAGAGAGAGAAGGGCGCAGAGCTGGGTTCATAAGCAAGACAAGCTCAGAGCACAGGATTGCTGCACAGGCCACTCTAATCATGAACTCAGTGTTTCTTACCACAGCCAGAGTGCACCTGATGGTTTGCGGAACATACCTGGATAGACAAGGATGCAAATTCCTCCCTAGCCTCTATACCAGTGTTCACCAGCCAGTAAATCGGGATCTACTGGTAGATCTTGGAGCCTCTAACAAGTGATCCTGACTTGTTTGGCCAAGAGACTGTTATCAAGTGCAGGCACTTCATCTGCCCCTCCCTCTGCTGCTACGCATCTCCTGCCCTTTGCCTTGGAACTTTCTCTCCCCCCCGCCCCCCCCGCACTCCTCTGGGAGCCTCCTGCTTGCTGTGCAAGGCAGGGAAGGAAAAAGACGGGCACTGCTGTCAAGGTACCTCCTGTCAAGGTACCTCCTCTCCCACCCTGTATCCTATCTTCACCGAGCAGAGAGAGGGCACAACAGGACTTGGGATGGAGTTTGCTAGCTGCTTTTGGGAGTGGTGTAAGACCAGGGCAGGGGTGAGCCTGCCTCAGCTCCCTGCACCACCACCCAGGAGCCACCTGAGGTAGGTAGTGTCCCGCTGGAGCCCACATCCTGAAACCCTGCCTCCTGTACCCCAAGTCTCTTGCACAGTCCTGAGCACCCCTGCATCCAAACACCCAGCCACCTGAGGTAGGTAGTGTCCCGCTGGAGCCCACATCCTGAAACCCTGCCTCCTGTACCCCAAGTCTCTTGCACAGTCCTGAGCACCCCTGCATCCAAACACCCTCCCAGAGCCTGCACCTAGAACCCCCTCAAGCACCGCAACTGCCTGCCCCAATCTTAGCTCAGAGCCCCTGTTATACTCCAGATCCCTTAATCCAAGACCAGACCTGCACCCCAACCCAGTGCCCCTGCCTGGTGAAAGTGATGGGGGGAGGGGGGAGTGAAGGGAGGCTGGAGTTAGCAGGGGCTGGGCCTCAGAAAAGGGTTACATTATGCCCTGAAGCATTAGGTTCAGGTGGACTGTTTTAACAGAGCAATTTTAAGTGGCCACAGGCCAGAACTAAAACTCCAAGTCTGAAAACTCTTGAACTTGGACATTTAAATAAAATGCATGTCATCTCTAATGGGAACATCAGGGAAGCAACTTGCCTAATGTCTCCTGGAGAGTTAATAGAGCTGAGACTAGAAGCCAGGAATCCTGACTTCCAGTTCTGCGCCCTAGCCACTAGATCATTCTTCCTCCCCAATAAAAGCTAGAACAGTTTTGTACCCATGCCTCTTCAAACACCCTCCATCCCAGCATGCGGGGAATGGGGAGTTGAAAGGGCTGTGGGTACCGTGTGAATTGGTAGATCTGCTGCACAGTCATGCTGCCTTCTGCACTGTTACGCAGGGCCACAGTGATGAGGATACAGTAATTAAGGGGGGGGCGAGGCCAGCCCCCTTTTATTTTGGTGCTCGCCTGCAGGATGTACTTGAGCTTCTTGCTCTGAGATCTGGGCATCTTTGGTTTCTGGGGTGTCACAGCAGCCTTAGGCTTGGAAATCTTCATTTTTTGAAAGAGTGAAGTGTCCATCATTGAAGCAGCTTCATCCTCAGTGAACTAGGCAGAGGGAGGATGAAAGAGATGGGTTAGACCTGCATGAAGTCAACAGTAAATTGGGATGTGGTGTGTGAGGAAATGCATGTCAGTGGCCTGTGTGTAATGAGCTTGGACCTCAGTCCAGTTCGCAGTGGTGATGTGTTCCCATCACAAAGAATGCTACCCAACCCATTTCTGTTAGTTTTAGCAGAACAATCACATATTGTCAGTGTTACTGAATGAGCTCCTCCCTATGTGTCAGGCCTGAGATGTGCTGCCACCTGGGCTATCCCTGTGGGTACGAAGGACTCCCATCTCCAATCCAGCATCTTGAACCTTCTGCTAGCCATAATTTTGGATGACTATATGCATTTGCTTCTGCTGCTCGTAAAACAGGGCATGAGCCATCTTAGTGCTATGTTGGAAGGCTTCAATCACAGAGACCAAGCAACTCTCAGCATGAAATGCCTCGGAATGTTAAATTTTGAGTAATTGATTAGTCGACTAGTCGATGTATTTTGCTTCGACCATTCAATTAGTCGATAGGGTGCCACCGCCCTAGGGCTGTTGCTACACTTCAGAGGCAAAAGCACTGCATTGGAGCCCGGGGTCACCTGGGACTCTGCTGACCCTGAGCTCCATGCGGCCCTGCTGCTTTGAAATGCTGTGAGGAGTCTGTCGTCAGGCTCCTTGCGGCATTTCAAAGCGGCAGCACCCCGGGGTCAGCCCACTGAGGATTCCTCCGCTGACCCCAAGTTCCATGCGGCACTGCCGCTTTAAAACACCACGTGGAGCCTGGGGTCACCTCAGTTGACCTCGGGTTGCATGCAGCGTTTCAAAGTGGCAGCGCCGAATGGAGCCGAAGGTTTGGCCCCAGGCTCCATGCAGTGCTGCTTCCTCTCCCACCCCACCCCCCTTGTTGCCTCTATCAGAAAGAGGCAACAAGTGGGGGGAGCGACTAGTCATTCACATTCCTTGTAATGCCCAGCACTATCCACACATTTTTCCCTCTGCCACATACCTTCTCTGTCTCACTGGATGATGACAGCAGATCTTCCTCAGAACAGTCAAGGTTGGAGTAATTCAAGGAAGAGCTCGGAGAAGAAAACCCTGGAGCATCAGCTACTGAGAATTCTGGGTTACTGGGCGCTGGCAAGTCCACACTGGGGCAGCCAGAAATGGGGCAAACCACATTGGGGTTAACCCACATCCACAGATGGGACTGCACATAAGATTCTGCTGACAGAAGAAGCCAAAGCACTCTAGTGATACCATCTGAGGCCTCTGCAACAGCAGAACTCCTGTCGCCTGGGAAAAGGGCTGAGCAAAGGCTAAATAGGATATAAATCCAAAGTGTCAGGGTTCTCCTAGCCCAACACTCGTTGCTGTTTTCCCCTAAAATAGTATTTATCTCCATATCTGATGCAAAATAAATTGTTTTTTCCCCTTCATGCCACCAGGCGTTAGCCCTCCCTCACCTTCTGAGTTTTAACTCCTTTTCCCTGCCAACAGCACCAGAGCTGCATGTACTCCCACCACCCAGGAATCACCCTGGCTGCTGGTCTGCAGCATCCAATGGAGAAAGTAGGATGTAATACTCCCATCAGCACTGACCTAACTGCCTCTGACCCTTGGAGAAGATCAGACCCAGATGTGCACCCGGTTGCTTGTCCACTTCTCTGTCATAGGCTAAATGAATGCCACTTTACCAATACATTTGCTAATGCCACCAACCCTCCCTGCCCGCCCCCCTCTCTCCCCGCCCTCCTCCCGGGTTACACCCTGCTCAAGTCTCACCACCAGACTGTGTGGATGGAAGGGTCTCGGACAGTTCCCTGGTGAGCGAGTTCCTGCGCACTTGTTGATCACGCTGCCATTTCAGCATGTGATGGTTCAGTTTTTCATTTACAGCTGGTGGGATATGGAAGTTCAGAGACAATGTGGTGAGCTGACAGCACTGTCACCCATCTCCTGTCTTGTCTAAGCATCAGTGATTTGAGACAGAGGATGTGTCTAATATGGAAAAAAGCCATTTTCTGCATCATGATGGGTTATCCATATTGGGTTCCATCAGTGGCTCTCAACCTTTCCAGACTACTGTGCTGGTTTCAGGAGTCTGATTTGTCTTGCGTACCCCCAGATTTCTCCTCACTTAAACTACTTGTTTGAAAAAATCAGATAAGAACACAAATGTATCACAGTACACTGTTACTGAAAAATTGCTTACTTTCTTTTTTTAATCACAATTATAAGTCAATTGGAATATAAATATTATATGTACATTTCAGTATATAACAGGGGTGGGCAATAGTTTTTGATGGAGGCCACTCCAAGATTTGGTAAGTGGTGAAGGGCTACACAGAAGGGAGCTCGGGGTAGAGGGCTAACGCCTGGTGGCATGAAGGGAAAAAGAGTCTGTGAAAGAGTTCGAGTGATGGAGGGAATTGTGACCTGAGGCAGGGGATTGGAGTACATGAGTTTGGGGTAGGGATATAGAATTCTGTTTAATTGGTTAACCATAATGTTTAACCAGTTAAAGTGGGGACAAGCAAGGGGACCGCTTAATCCCATCCCCTTCCCTCACCTCAGATAGGGGCTGTTCCAGCCGAGCTGGAGTGCTCTTCCCTCCCCCCACCTGCCTGCAATAGGTGGGGAGCTGCTCCAGCTCCCACTGGTTAGGGATGAGACTTACTGGTCAACCAGTTAACCATTCACATGCTTAGTCTGGGAAGGGGTATAGGATGCAGAAGAGGATTCTGCCTTGGAGAAGAGAGGTGTGTGTGTGGGGGGGGAAATGCAGGTTCTGGGAGGGGATTGTGACCTGGATGCAGAATATTTGATTTGTAACCTGGGGCAGAAAGTTGGAATGCGGGAAAGGGTGGGGTGCCACATACAAGATCTTGCCAGGAGGCACTTAGCTTGAGCCACCTAAGGTAACAACTGGATCTTTAGGCAGGTTCCCCTGCCAGCTGCATCCCCACCCCTGCACCCTGGTCAGAGTAGCCTGCTGCAGGGACCATGTACTACCTGCGCTGCAAGCACAGCCCAGCCAGCTCCCATCAGCTGGTTTCTGACCAATTCAAGGTCTGAGATTTTGCTGAGAGGCAGGGGCAGCATGAGAAGCTCCCCATCCTGGGGCATGCAGAGAGCACATGGCCACAGCAGCCAGTTCCTTTGAGCAAGGTATGGGAGTGTGGCTGCCTGAGGCTCCTGCTAGGCTGTGGGACTATGGTGAGCCGCATCTGGCCCACGGGCCATATTCTTTCCACCCCTGGCTGTGTCTAGACTGGCAAGTTTTTCCACAAAAGCAGCTGCTTTTGCGGAAAAACTTGCCAGCTGTGTAATTCAACACATGAAATCAGTACAGACTGAGTTTTCGTTAAATGAAGAGGCAGCACTGGTATTGAAGCTTGAGGAAAGCTGCTTTGATACTTAAGCTTTGTTACCCCTTGGCTACGTCTAGACTGGCATAATTTTCAGCAAATGCTTTTAACTGAAAAGTTTTCTCTTAAAAGCATTTGCAGAAAAGAGTGTCTAGATTGGCACGGACGCTTTTCCGCAAAAAGCACTTTTTGCGGAAAAGCGTCCGTGCCAATCTAGATGCTCTTTTCCGCAAATGCTTTTAACGGAAAACTTTTCCATTAAAAGCATTTGCGGAAAATCATGCCAGTCTAGACGCAGCCCTAGTGTACAGCATATAAAGTAGAACATAAGAATGTCCATATTGGGTTAGATCAACAGTCCGTCCAGCCCAGTATCCTATCTGCCAACAGTGGCCAATACCAGATGCCCCAGAGGGAGGGAACACAACAGGTAATCAAGTGATTCTTCTCCTGTCACCCACCTACAGAGAAATAGATGCTAGGGACACCATTCCTACCTATTCTGGCTAAGATTCTTGGAGGGTAGGTGCATTAATGGTTATCTAGCTCTTTTTTGAACCCTATTAAAGTCCTGTCCTTCACCACATCCTCTGGCAAGGAGTTCCAGAGGTTGACTGTGCACCGAGTGAAGAAAAACTTCCTTGTGTTTGTTTTAAAACCTTCTGCCTATTAATTTCATTTGGTGGCCCCTAGTTCTTATATTGTGGGAATAAGTAAATAATTTTTCCTTATTCACTTTTTCCACACCAGTCATGATTTTATAGACCTCTACCATATCCCCCCTTAGTCTCCTCTTTTCTAAGCTAAAGTCCAAGTCTTTTTAATCTTTCATATAGGACCCGTTCCAAACCCCCAATCATTTTTGTTTCCCTTTTCTGAACCTTTTCCAACACCAATATATCTTTTTTGAGATGAGGCAACCATATCTGTACGCAGTATTCAGGATGTGGGTGTACTATGGTTTTATATAGAGGCATTAAGTTATTTTCTGTCTTATTCTCTGTCCCTCTTTTAATGGCTCCTAACATTCTATTTTCTTTTTTGACTGCTGCTGCACACTGAGTGGATATTTTCAGAGAACCATCCACAATGACTCCAATATCTCGATTAGTTGTAGCTAAATTAGTCCCCATCATATTGTATGTATAGTTGGGATTATTTTTTCCAGTGTGCATTACTTTACATTTATCAACATTAAATTTCATTTGCCATTTTGTTGCCCAATCACTTACTTTGGTGAGATCTTTTTGAAGCTCTTCACAGTCTGCTTTGGTCTTAACTATCTTGAGCAGTTTGGTATCACCTGCAAATTTTGCCACCTTACTGTTTACCCCTTTCTCTAAATCATTTATAAATACATTGAATAGGATTGGTCCCAGGACAGACCCCTGAGGACCTTACTTCTCTCCATTCAGAAAGCTTACCATTTATTCCTACCCTTTGTTTCCTATCTTTTAACCAGTTATAAATACACGAAAGGAATAGTATCAACAAGTGATTGTCCATATAAAATTTTAGTTTGAACTGTAATCAGTAGTGCTTTTTATGTAGCTTGTTGTAAAACTAGAGAAGTAGATAAATGAGATGAAGTACCCCGGAAGACGTCTTTGTCTCTCCAGAGGTATAGCTGCACATTGGAACTCTCATCCTGCCTTTGGACCCCTGTAGAATGTGCACCACCAGGAGAAACACAAACCTAGCTGTGGGTCAGATTTTAGGCCTCAAGCCTAAGATTCTGACCTGCGTGCCCTGTAAACTGTGAGCTTGTGCGGCCACATAGCTGATTAGCAGAGCGCTCACAGCTTGGGTTTTTTGTTTCTACTGGTGGTGCACATTTGCACATGCCTTGGTGCACAAGAAACATCTATTCCACACATGTATGGGAAAGATTAGAGGGGATATTGAGTTTGACGATAAGGTTTTTAGGGAGATACCAGTCCCAGCTTTTCCCTGGCATGGTCCAAAGTCCTACAGTGCATGTATTAAGGGGGGGGGTGCTTTTTTTGGGTTGGGGGCCACTGACCCACTGAAAAAGTACTCAAGGGTTGCACACAAGGGAGAAGCAAAAAACAAAACAAAAAACCCAACCCTAACTGACATAGCCCCCAACTGAGAAGGAGAAAGACACTCTCCATATTTCACTTGCACACCAGAGCCTAGGGGAGGGGGCTCAGGCTAGTAGATCTTGGGGCTGGAGCACACACAGGGGGGCTGAAGTACCAACACAGTCTCTTTAATGCTGGTGGTGGGGGAGAACCCTGAGTCTCAAGGACTGGATCCAGACAACCTGGGGGCCGCATCTGGCCCCTGGCCTTAGGTTCCCCACCCCAATATTGGAAGAATTGATTGAGACTGGGACATCACTAGAGAGATTTAGAATTAGACTAACCAAAGCAGCAAATCATAGCAACAGTGGTGGAGTAGATATTAACTAGACACAACATAAAATAGATGTTCTTGGGGGAGGGGGTTCCATTCAAAAGCCAGAGGAGTCACTAATCATCTAGTTACGTCCGTAACTCAGGCCATTGAGCTTCCCCCAAATTATTCCTATTTAGACAAGACTAACTTTTAGCAAGCGACTGTGATATTTTCACAATGTTGAACAAGAATAATGAACATGTTTTCAGCATTAGAATCTGCTTCAATCCAGTCAGTGCAGATAGTTCGATCACGTGCCAGTATGTTTTCTCAAATGCACTCTGAAGATTTTTATTTCAATGAGCCAGTCTTGATAGCTTTCTGTACTGATCTTCCTATTATCCCAGTAGTCATCAATTATTTACAGCTTAATCTCCAGGGTCTCCTAAACTTGCATAAATTTTGAAGTTTATAGAAGAGCAAGTTCTAATTTTACAGCATTTGAACTCTGATATCAAGACAGGATAATTTAAATGTAATGAATTTCCCTTCCATCCTAGAACAGATTTCCTATCTCCATCACCAGAGTCTGCTTTTCACCTGGAAGTTTCAGATACAAGAACAAAGACATAACCAAGCCACCCAGAACCCAAGCCTTTCAGAACTCCTTACCTTGAGGAAATTGATCAGTGGTGGTGGTTAGCTTGAGCTCCTCCTCCATATCCCAGTCCTCAAGGCCACTTTTTAGATGCAGACTTTCCCAAAACATTTTGTTTTGAAAATTCAAATACATTTTCTTATAATCTGTAAAATAACCCACAACTGTTGCAGATCCTGGATGTTGGAGGGAGGCTACAGAGCAAGCCACACAGAGTTAATCATGGATAACTTTCAACTTTCTAATTCTGCTCTATGTGATTTGATCCCACTTTAAAGAGAAAGAGATTTGACTAGGGGAATTAAAGGATTGGTCTCTATTTAAAAGTGTGAAACACCAATTACAGATCCTAGTAGGGACTGGATGATTAGTGTCAGTGAAGCGAGCAATCTACTTGAAAATAAGAGCCATCACCTGAGAGGCTTTGTTTGTTCATGTAAACTAAATTTTTGATAAGTGCTCAGCTCCTTAAGTTTGCAGAGCTGTAGCTTAATGTTTCTGGAAGAATGTAAGTGTAAAGGAATATGTTTGCAGCTGTTCATAATACAGGATCATCCAAGGGTGTGTGGCCTTGTGGTCTGAGGCTTTTTGGAGGGCATATAGGGGACTTTGAGGCACATCTGAAGACACAGAGAAGTTCTGCCTCTCAACCTTTTTGAATAGTTTAGTTTCTTTTCTCCTTCTCACACCTCATGTTCTTTTTTACTCTTTTTTCATCTCAGTCCCAGTTTCTACTTTCTCATTTCCCTTCCCTGTCTTGTTCCTAGCCCAGATCCTTCCCTTCCAACAAATTGCTATTCTGCTCCCCCTCACTACTGTCTTTTTCTCCCCAGCTCCAAGATAAATCAATAGCCTTCCTAGTAATCTCACTGTGCTGCCAGTTCACCAGCAGATGGAACACAGCTGGGGAGTGAAACTGAGCTGTCTCTTGTCCTGTTCACTTGACTGTTCTGGTCCATGTCTGAGCTAAGCACGAGTTGGGTGAGGGGGGGTACATGTCAGTGCATGGCATGATTTTTCTTGTATTTGCCTCATTTTAATACAGATGTATTTCTAGAGCAGCAGACCTGGTGCTAGGCATGAGCAGGCTAAGCAATTCTTAAGAAGCTTAAGAGGCTCCTGTGTTGTGTGAGTGGGAACAAAAATATTCTTGTTCAGGGCCTCCGATGGTCTTGCACTAGTACTGAATTGAGTACTCCAGTACATGCCTGGAGTAGGTAAGTGCTGGTCCCAGGGATTAATTTGGTCAAGGGACTCCTCTGGGCATGATTCCCTTAAATCCCCATAGGAATTGATATCAACCAGTTAAATGTTACATTAACTGAGTTCTTGCAGCGCAGCAGGCCTGGCCAGACTGGAGCAACGCCCACCCGTGGTGCAATGTGAGTGATGGATGGCTCCAGGCTGGCCGGGCTGCAAATTAACTGATTACCCCAGTAAGGCTAATGCTTACTGGGTAACCAGTTAAGCAGTTGACCCTTTACATCCCTACTGTCTATACAAGGATTTAAGTTGACTTAACTGTACTGCTCTGGAATGATCAGGTATAAAAGCATCAGTTCTACTTATTCCCAAATTGCTCTGATGTGTGGAGACCCTATGGTAGGGCAGGAAGCACCTAATTTTACACTCCTCCCCCCAAAAACGCCATGTATCCAGGACTAGAATCTCCACACTGATTGTGCTGCCCCAAGTCACACAAAAACCACACCAAATTTCCTGGAACAACAGCAGTTTGAGGAGGAAGATCCTTTGTCGGAGGAGGAAGATAGATTCCCCCCCTCCTCCATCCTTATCTCCTGATGAGGCTATAATTCCTACGATCCCAACTCCTACAGACGAGTTAAAACAATTCCAGGGTTGTTTAAACAAGTGGCCAGTGCACAAGAGATAGATAAGAAGTGCTGGAGAAGCAACATAGACTTCTCCACATCCTTCAGCCTTCCACATCTTCGAAAATAGTCTCCCTTTGGACGAAGCCATTCTCAACCCAGCTGACACCATCTGGCAGACACCTGCTTCTATCATGCCCACTAACAAGAGAGCAGATAGAAAATACTTTATTCCTGCCAAGGGGATGGACTTTATTTGCTCACATCTCCCTCCAAACTCCCAAGTGGTGGACTCTGTCCATTACAGAGCCAAATACCCCCAATTCTGGTCCACCCCACCAGGATAAAGGCCATAAGTGGCTCGACAAACTGGGTAGAAATGTCTGCTCCTCGGCCACTCCGCAATTGTGGGTAGCCAATTATTTGGCGTTTCTTGTTGATTACAACCACACCAATTACTCAGAATTGCAAGATCTCATGCAGATCTTCTCAGAACAGAAGAGGCCTTAACTTCAGGTCATAATTCAAGAGAGTCACACCATTGCCTGTATGGCATTCCAAGCTGCCTTAGACATCACAGATACTGCTAAATACAGCACCCCCATGGCAACTGTCATGCACAGGGTTTTGTGGCTACAAGCATTGAGAATACCTAGGGAACTGCAACTCAAAGTGGAGAACCTCCCTTTTGATAAGACCAACTTATTTGCTAGCAAAATAGACGAGGTCTTTCACTCCATGAAAAATTCTCGCACAACCCTCAGAACACTGAGGGTTATTTTTACCTTGGTTATTTATATACCACCAAATAAATGCCAAAGGTATAACACCTATTCAAGGTCAAAGGAGTCATACAGATAGCTCAACAGTCCATATGACTTCAGACAAAGGCAACAACAACAGAAGTATAGACCACACTGTCAGCAACAATCTAACACAAATCAGCTGTCTACATCAAAATAGCAAATTTGAAGGTTTGTTCAAGGGCTTGAGCAACATCCCCACCATACCATTTGCCACATTAAAAGTCATATGTGGGTCCTGCAGCTTAGCAAGCCTGGAATGGAAGTTTCCATCCTAGCTGTACACAGGCAAATGCAAACAGTAGCTGGGCTTTATCAGCTTTAACCCATGCCTTGAGCTGGGAAGCTACTAAGCTGTAAACAAGTTTGGCCTTGGGCTCAGCTCATGAGAATGTTAAGAATGGTGTTGAGCCAGTACGTGCACGCTATTAAACAACTGTAATATAACTAGTGTAGGGAGTCCTATGCCCAGTGAGTCTCACCAGGGACCTAAACCTCGAAGGGTGCCCAGGATTCCCCCAGCTAGAGCCACGTCCACTGCGGCCTTGTGCGAGGTGACAGGAACGGGACTCCCCACAGACTGAAGGGATGTAAGCATTTCTAAGTGCCTGTTGCTCTCTTATGCATTGCTTTGCCTGTGCTAATTGATGTATCACTTTGCAGTAGCTGTGTAATCATCTAACCATATTAACGCTATAATAGTAGTGACATAGTGAGATTAATAAAAGCAACTATCCCTAATCGATTTTGTTATGAAGCGAATCCATAATCCTATTTGGCTATGCCCCTGTGAGTTGACACCGTTGTCTACACCATCCAATCTCCAATTTACCCACCAGCAATGGTCCTTTTTCCAACAATGAACTAAAATAACATCTGACCAGTGGATTTTAGAGATCATCAGTTTGCTCTACACCATATTCTTCATACCAATTCCCCCTCCCCATTTCCCCCTTCTCTCTTCAGGGACTCCCTCACAAAAACTTCCTACAACTAGCGGTTCAACATGTGCTGCAAGTTGAGGCCATAGAACCAGTTCCATCAGCCTATCCAGGAAGAGGGTTTTACTCATAATACTTCCTCACACAGAAGAAGATAGGGGTTGGAGACCCATACTAGATCTCAGAAAGCTCAGCAAGTACATAACATATTAGAGGTTCAAGATGGTCATGTTAATAACCATCATACTGGCTTTAGACAATGGAGATTGGTTCTTAGCCCTCAACTTCCAAGATGTCTGTTTTCATATAACAATCCACCCAGCACACAGATGTTTCCTATGTTTCACAGTGGGAACCAACCACTACCAATATCAAGTTCTTCTATTTGGCTTATCAATGGCACCAAGAGTCTTCACCAAAACTCTGTCTGTATACCTGTCATATAGGAGTGATAACCTTTCCATATTTGAATTACTCCCTCATCAAGGCACCCAAGACATGGTCAACAAGACTATCGCTCTGCAACTCAGCCTTGGATTCCATATCAACTATCAGAAATCCACATTGCAGCCCATACAGGCTCTCGAGTTCATAGGTGCTCAACTAGATTCCGCCACAGCCACGATGACTCTACCTGAACACAAGTTTAGGTCCCCCCACATAAACTCAATGCAGGCTTTGCCAGTTACAACAGTACACAGGTGTCTCCAAATCCTTGGTCACATGGTGGCCATAAAGTATGTGATGAAACTAGCAAGACTCCATATGAGATGCCATCAAGCATAGTTGGCCACTGCTTATATCCCTTTCAGGGACTCTACAGTCAACAGAGGAAAAAGGACTGTAAGCTGTCTAAAATCCTACCTACCACATGGGGCCACAACAGTGGTACCCCTAACTCACCCAGCAATATCGTCAATCTTTCCAACTACACACACAGCCCGGCAGAAGAGTCTGTTCTATCTCGGGGACTCTCTTTTTGCCCCGCCACCCCCGCTAACATGATACAGTTCTGCGGTGATCTGGAAGCCTACTTTCGCCGTCTCCATCTGAAGGAATACTTCCAACACAACACTGATCAGTGCACTGACACACAGATACCTTCCCACCAACAGCACAAGAAGAAGAACTCCACATGGACTCCTCCTGAGGGCCGAAATGACAGTCTGGACCTCTACATAGAATGCTTCCGCCGACGTGCACAGGCAGAAATAGTGGAAAAACAGCATTGCTTGCCTGGTAACCTCAGTTGTGCAGAACGCAATGCCATCCACAGCCTCCGGAACAACTCTGACATTATAATCAAAGAGGCTGACAAAGGAGGTGCTGTTGTCATCATGAACAGGCCTGACTACCTAAAGGAGGCTGCCAGACAACTCTCCAATACCAAATTCTACAGGCCACTTTCCTCAGATCCCACTAAGGAATATACTAAGAAACTGCACCATCTGCTCAGGACACTCCCCAAACAAACACAGGAACAAATCGACACACCTTTAGAGCCCCGACCAGGGTTGTTCTATCTATTACCCAAGATCCACAAACCTGGAAATCCCGGACGCCCCATCATCTCGGGCATTGGCACTCTTACTGAAGGACTGTCTGGCTATGTGGACTCTCTGCTCAGACCCTACGCCACCAGCACTCCCAGTTACCTTCGTGACACTACGGATTTCCTGAGAAAACTACAATGCATAGGTGATCTTCCAGAAAACACCATCCTAGCCACCATGGATGTAGAGGCTCTCTACACAAACATTGCACATGTAGATAAAATAAAAGCTGTCAGAAACAGTATCCCTAATGATGCCACAGCACAGCTGGTGGCTGAACTCTGTGAATTTATCCTCACACACAACTATTTCAGTTTTGGTGACAATATATACCTCCAGATCAGTGGCACTGCTATGGGCAGCCGCATGGCACCATAATAAGCCAACATTTTTATGGCTGACCTGGAACAATGCTTCCTCAGCTCTTGTCCACTTATGCCCCTTCTCTACCTACGCTACATCGATGACATCTTCATCATCTGGACCCATGGGAAGGAGACTCTGGAAGAATTTCACCATGATTTCAACAGCTTCCACCCCACCATCAACCTCAGCATGGACCAATCTACACGGGAGGTCCATTTAACCTCTCCAACGCATCATTAGTGATCTTCAGCCCATCCTGGACAATGATCCCTCGCTCTCACAGGCCTTGGGAGGTAGGCCGGTCCTTGCCCACAGACAACCCGCCAACCTGAAGCATATTCTCACCAGCAACTACACACCGCACCATAATAACTCGAACTCAGGAACCAATCCTTGCAACAAACCTCGGTGCCAACTCTGCCCACATATATACACCAGCAACACCATCACAGGACCTAACCAGATCAGCCATACTGTCACTGGTACATTCTCCTGCACATCCACCAACGTAATATATGCCATCATGTGCCAACAATGCCCCACTGCTATATACATCGGCCAAACTGGACAGTCCCTACGTAAAAGAATCAATGGACACAAATCTGATATTAGGAATGGCAACATACAAAAACCTGTAGGGGAACACTTCAATCTTCCTGGACACACAATTGCAGATCTAAAAGTAGCCATCCTGCAGCAAAAAAACTTCAGGACCAGACTTCAAAGAGAAACTGCTGAGCTACAGTTCATCTTTAAGTTTGACACAATCAACTCTGGATTAAACAAAGACTGTGAATGGCTTGCTAACTACAAAAGCAGCTTCTGCTCTCTTGGAATTCACACCTCCAGATCAGCTGCTAGAAGTGGGCCTCATCCTCCTTGATTGGATCCACCTCGTCATCTCCAGCCTGATCCTGGCCTGCATATTTATACCTGCCTCTGGAAATTTCCACTACATGCATCTGACGAAGTGGGTCTTTGCCCATGAAAGCTTATGCTCCAACACTTCAGTTAGTCTATAAGGTGCCACAGGACTCCTCGCCGCTTTATCATGAATGTACTGTATCAATTGACAGGGAGTAGCATTGTTCAACTTCCTCTGCACAGAGGTGATAAAGCTTTGGAATTGGTGCATATGACACCAGGTCACTCCCATTGCAACCTACCTACCCGGGGTTCTCAGTGTCACAGCGAACAACTTCAGCTGCCTATTTTCAGACAGCCCTTCAGGAAGTATTCTCCAAGTGGGTGCAACCTGACATAGACCTTTTTGCTATCTGTTCCAACCGCAAATATCACCAGTTTTGCTCCTGGGCAACCTTGGGAAGGGGATCTCTAGGGGATGCATTTCTTCTCAAATAGGAAGCACCACTCCTGTACGTATTCCCACCATTATCTCTTGATTCATTGAGAAATCATGAAAATCAGACAAGATCGAGCATGTGTCAGTAGCACCATCATGGTCCAGGCTGACCTAGTTTCCTTACCTCCAATGATTAGCAATCTCTGCTCCCCATGTGTTCCCACCAGGTTGCAATCTTCTATCCCACCATCACAGCAAGACACTCCATCTGGATCTGGTCACACTTCATCTCAAGGTCTGGCTCCTTCAAGGCTCCATGATGCCAAAACATCCTGTTCTGACAGGATAAAGCAAATACTAATCAACATTTTAACAAGATTCTACCAGGAAAACCTACTCCTATGAAAGGTAAAGATTCTCTGCATAGATATGGGAAAACGACAACATCCCAACCCACACCACTCCTCTACCAATCATACTGGACTACTTTCTTACTGAGAGAGTCACGTCTCTCTTTTAGCTCAGTAAAGTTTAACACTGTGGCAATTGCAGCGTTTCACGAGTAAATGGATGGGATCTCACTTTTTTCACATCCCATGACTAAACACTTCTTAATGGAGCTCCAAAACACATTCCCTGTAGTGAGACTGTCTACTTCGCTGCAGGACCTCAACCATGTCCTTAAGAGTCTCACAAAAGCACCTTTTGAACCACTTGCCACATGTTCATGGCTACATCTCTCAATGAAGGTGGCCTTTCTCGTAGCCATCATTTCCAGCAGACGTGTTGGAGAAATAGCAGCTTTGATAGCAGATCCCCCTTACACAGTTTTCAGCAAAGACAGGGTTACAGTCAGAGCTCATCCAAAATTCCTCCCAAAAGTCCCCACACCCTTCCATATTAATGAATCAATCCACTTACCTGCATTCCGTCTAAAGCCGCACGGTACGCAATCCAAGCAGCGCTATGCGCACCCTCAACATCCGACAAGCAATTGCTTTTTATTTACACAGGATCACGTCCTGGAAGAAGTCCATAAGAATTTTTATATATTTTGCTGAATGCTCAAAAGGACAAGCTGTCTCCTCCCAACGGATATTAAAATGGATCTCCACCTGCATCCATGCTTATTACACCATCCATAACAAGCAACCACCACCTGCCATCATGGCTCACTACACCAGAGCAGTGGCTTTCACCACAGCCTTTCTTAATGTCCCACTCAAAGACATCTACACAGCGGCAATCTGGTCTTCTGAGCACACGTTTGTCAAGCATTACATTTTGACTTCCAGCCTAATTCCAACAATATCAGTGGGCCAAGCTGTACTGTCTCTGGTCTCTGGGGCAAGGCTCCAAAACCCACCTCCACAAGACAGACACTGCTCTTCAGGCACCTAGATTGGAGCACTCACCTTGTGCAGTAATGGGAGTTCTTTGAGATGTGTGTCCCGATGGGTGCTCTACTACCCTTCCTCTTTAGAGCCTCTTTGGGACATGTCCAAGGTAAAGAAGGAATGGAGGCACCACATGCACAACTAACAGACACTAATGGTATGAGGAGACACCACTGCAGATGTGCGACTCAGCAGGGCACCACTAGAAAAGATCTCTGATTGCCAGTGCGAGGAAACATCAGCACCTAAAGTGGAGCACCCATCTCGAAGAACTACTGTTTACTGCACAAGGTGAGTAATTCTCTCTTGTCCCACTGGCAGAGGTAAAAGTAAGAGGGTGCACTCTGGTATGCTGCTCTATCAAGAACCTGCCTGGAGTGCACTGTTTATAGAGCCAGACCAGGGGGATGGAAATGGCTCATCTGGCATGGTGGCGGCTCAGTCTGGGCAGGGCCCTGCAGTCTGGCCCCCATCTGCTGTGAAAGGAGCTGGTGGTGGCTTCCGTCTGGCTGCAGCAGCCTGGCCCTGGCCCCGTTTCTGCTGCGGTGGAGTAGGAAGGGAGGCGGAATCAGCTGTGGCGATCCTGGCTCAGCCTCTGTCCAGCTGCGATAGCCCGGTCCTTGCCAGGTATGTTAACCCAGCCCCAGAGCCATACACACACTCTCCCTCCTACCTCCAGCCCCCTGCCCTGCCTCCCCCCCCACAACCAAACCCTCTTCCCTGAGTCCCTCATACACCCCAGTCCTATCTCCTGCACCCCCCTCCATATTCCTAGCCCACTGCCTGCTTTGACTTGTGATAGGACAGTACTGGTAAGAAATTTAAGTTACTTTCACCCCTGCTTACTGGGCATCTGAGTGTATTATTTCTCCATCGTAGTCTATTTTAGATTACCCACTCCACCTTAAGAAGCAGGGTCTACTTCTCTCTTCCATCAGGGTACACCTTGCTACTATCTCAGTTTTCCACTCACTGAGCCAAGTGTAAGGGTGATGCACCCAGGTCGTCAGCAGGCAGGACTGAACCCAGGACCTTAGGGGCTAAATCCATGAGCTTGTACCACATCAATTAAAAGCCAAGGAGCCCTTCTCTAAGGCTCTAGAGCAGACTTCACTCTGCCTCTCTGTTTCAGAGCTTTCGGTTTACACAAGGTCAGATGGTGTTCTCTCATGACATGTCAGTCCGATCCCTGAGAGGCCTTGAGAGACTCTTCCTGCTGGTCTGAGCTCCTGTCTTCCAGCGGGACCTTAAATTGTTTTTTTCTAGGTTTACCAGCCCGCTCTTTCCTACCTGTCATGAAAACTGTTTTCCTTATGGCATTGTGTAACGGGGTTAGCACTCACATCAGGCGATCACTCCCGTTTGGCTGAGTGCAGGTTCCTGCGCT